CCATTTATAGTCTATATGGCACCTATTGGCCAGCTGGAGGGAGGGGTGCTGATTGGCCTGCATCCCCCAGATCAGAGATTTAACTTGGAGCACAGCCCATGTGAAGCCTCTTGCACCTCTGTTTCAGGTGAGGCTGGGGAGTTTTTTCACCTTCTTCCCAGCACCTTCAATTCACAGTAGGTTAATTAACAATGTGCTTAGTACCTGAGGTACTTGCTTGAGTTGTTAATTTGTCACAATTTGTGGGCAGTTTTCAGTGCAGTTAAAAGGATAAAATGAATAGTTCCCAGAAGTAAAAGACCTGGATGTTGGTGATGGACCTTGGGCTCATGGGATAGGGTCAGACCTTGTGATCCTTGCAGGCTGGAGTTCCCACCCTTTTGCACCCTCTGTTTCCCTCATAAAGGTGTGGGAGTGGGTAGGACTTGGAGTGAGCTGAGTCCGGGGCAGGTAGGCTAAGGAGAGCTGCCACCCTGAGTTATGGGTTACATGGTAAGAGCTGACTAGGGCTGATTAAGCAGATGATCTAAATTGTAACCCTTGCACTGGAACCACTTACATGACTGGTATATGAGAGTATGGGTTATGCAGGTAGTGCCCCTTCCACGTGTTCAAGTTAACAAAAGGTGTGTCCGGTAGTTTAAAATCCATCCATGTCCTCATTTCACCACTGTGTCCGGATCAACTACGGATTGCCTAGGATTTTAATGTGTTAGTGAATGTGTTAAAATAGACGTTTTTCTAGAGAAAACAAGGCTTAAGAGATCTTAATGCTCATGAAAGGTGCCAGATTGACAGTCTTGAAGATGGAAATACAGCAAGTATAACACAGAGTTGCAGTGCAAAACTTCTCATACTGATCTGTCAGAGTGCCCCGGAGGGACCAGTTCTAGGGTTGAGAAGGCAGATCACCTTTTATAGCCATTAAGTTCTGGTCCTCTCTACTGCAACTGCCAGCTAGGGAACCAGTTTTGATGGTGGTTTTGCAACTTGAGCATTTTCATTTATGGCCCCCGCCATTGGCCATGACTATTTAGTTAAAGTACCAATCTGTATATAAAAATCTATAGGGGATGTTATGAAGAATAATCATCTGTTATCTATTGCAGTATGCAAAGCAGAGCTCTGGGGTAATATACATTATGCTGAATGGTTCTGCGATAGGGGGCGCCTATCCAGTCAAAGGGTAAGAAAAATAAAATAATATTGTGTTAATATTTTAGGGTTTGATTGAGAAAAATCAAACATTTGGCTATTGTATCACACAAAGCTGTGGAAGTGAATAATTTTCAGAAGTCTGTGGCCTCAAGGCCAATCTTTTTTTTTTTTAACTAGACCTGGAGTAAAATTTTAGAAAGCACTTGGGTGCCTCTTGTGCAGAGTCCTGTATTCTAATTTGTCAAAGGCAACAGAAGTAAAACTCGGCTGTTACACAACATTGTTTATAAAAGCAAAAACACTGAATTAGTCCAAACAAAACGGTCTACTGATTCCACCCAAGGACTGTGTTGAGATTATGACACGTAAACAAGAGAAGAATAGAATCAGAAATTAATGGATCAAAATTGCTGTGTCAGCAAATAGGCCTAACTGGAGAACAAAATAATGACATGGAAGGGCAATTCCACCCATCACCCCCTTTTACGGTCCTTAAAAGAGTACAGGTAGACTGAAAGGAGAGAGTTCAACCATCATGGCTGCCACCCCCATTGTCTCATGAGACCTCAGGAATCCACTATTACACTATAGGGCCTGCATCATCCTGATCAGAGAGCGCTGTCCTGGCCTGACCAGGCCAGAGAGAGACCCAGATTACACACTTCAGCAACTTCATCGACTTCAGCTAAATACTGAACACCACATGGAATGTGAAACTTGGTTTCCCACTCTCCTCTCCTCCCTCAAGTGTCATTTTTCCTTCCTCGCCTTCTCTTTCCTATTTCTCTCTTTTTGCCTTCTGTTTAAAAAGAGTCTGAGTTAGCAGGCCAAGACAACTGCATCTTTTGCAACACTGTTCTGAAGCTTTGACCATCAAGGAAGCTAAAAGCAATGCCTTAAACAGCCCTACTCTGGTACAAGTTTGCCAGGTCTCCAAGTGGCTGATAAGATTGTATGCTGTGTTTGTGTTTCTCCAGCAGTGAGATGGCTAGCAATAGTCAGCATCAAAGACAGCAGCTGCATTTTCTATCTTTATAATTTTTTTCTCCCCTTTTGTGTTTTTAAAGGTTTTTAAAGATGACTGTTGCCATGAGACTAAGCAGGCTGAGATCTCTATCCTTGGAACCCCAAATCCTGTTTAGAACTCTTGATGTTGTAAAGTAACAGTCATGTTAACAGCTTTGACTCTGTGGGACCATTGATTCCCTGAAGATGGAATACCACACTTGTCAAGGTGTCAGTTCAGCAAAGCCCATGCTTAACTTTAAGCACTTGTTTATTTTTCACTGAAGTGGAACTTGACAAAGCTTAAGTTCTTTGCTTAATTAGGCCTAAATGAGAAAACGAAACCCAGGGAGACTCCAAAAAAAATAGGTCCCAAGTGGTTGCTTGTGTTGCTATACAAAGGCCTGATTCATTTGCTCTCCAATATTAGATAATTCACAAATCACAAGGAAAAGGAATAGAGACTTTTGATAAAGAACAGAGAGACGTTTTAACAAATTCTAAGGGCCAAGTGACAGTCTGATTATATAGGTCAGGGCACAGGGAATACAGCTCCTATTTGAATGATGATTAGAGCAGGTGACTTCCCTTGTTGGCACAAAGTAAAATCTATTTCTTTTTTAAACAATATGCTGTGATTAATTTAACAGTGGTTAAAACAGCCATTCTTGTCCAACATAATACTCTCAGTTTAACCTTTGGAACAGATTATCAAGGAAAGTAGCAAATTCATCATTGCTTGGAGTCTTTAATCAATATTGAATGTCTTTCTGAAAGATATGCAAGAGTTCAACCACAGGTTATTGAGTGTGATAGTGTTCACTTATGTAGTATGTAAAAATAATTCTCTCCACTGCAGGAATTACTATGTGAAATTCTATGATCTGTATTCTGCAGGACTTCAGATAAGATAAGATAATCATAGTGGTCCATTCTGGCCTCAAATTTCTTCTGTTCTAGGCCATATAGCTGGTACAGTACAGAAATCAAAATACTTCAAATAATTCCTGTAGAATCCTTGCTCTCTTCTGTCAAGACAAACTATATTTCAAAAGACAGCAGGCCAGATTTTCAAAAAAACAATTGTAGAAGCAAATAATCACAGTAACATTTTTTTGCAGAGTTACGCAGGCACAACGGATATCATTCAGCTGCCTTTATATCAAGCAATTAGACATCTAACTTAGATGATCTAAGTTACATCCTGCATGTAACTGCACCCATCATTATTTGCCCTGGCATAATTACATGCATGAACAAGAAAGCTGGGATGAGACTTCATTCAAAATCAGGCCCAAATCCTTAATTTATAAATTTTTGTTTTGTTTTATTTTTGTTTTTTAAGACCGATGCCTTAGCACACATTTTAATGCAATATGTTAAATGGTCCCTCCGTTAGATTTAGAGAACTCTAAACTCACACTTTGTGCTTTTATTATCCTATTTAAAGACATTTTTTCCATTAGGCCATCATCAGTTTAATTGAAATTATTTTTGGATATGCCTTCGATAGTACAACTAGTAGTCACAAAGACTTAGACACAGGAACACAGAAGACGTTTTTTCTGATACAAAAGTTCTCAGAACTTATGACAGGAAAGTCACAAAACATAAATACAGATAACTTCCTCTTCTCTTTGCCAGTAAAAATGATCCCCTCTTAATGACTCAATCTGCTCTGATAAATCACTCCCTAAAACAATGGACCTTAACCTTGCAGCAGTAAGGCTGATTGTATGTAAAAGGAAAAATCTGGTTTAATATTTTACTATTTACATACTCCCGGTCAGATGTAAGATCAGTTGGTGTAACTCCATTGACTTCAGTGGAATTATTCCAGCAGAGAATTTGGCCCTCCTATATCTGGACTTCTGAATATTACAGTGTTTAACAAACAGCAAACCTGCCTATAGAGGATTCTTCCCAGGTCAGAATGGACAGATTTAAAAACAACAACCTCTCTTATGGTCTTACTTGTTCCCATGCTAGGTATTTTATACCTTTTTGACTTACTGCTGTGATTTTATATCTACTAATATACTTGTCTTGTAATTGTTACTCTTCCTTCTATTTTAAAAAACAAATCCCATACTGTGCCTGAAGAAAGGCTGCTCTTGAAGGTTTTTTTGTTTGTTTGTTTTTTACTAAATACCTAGTGGTTTGTTATAAGTGCTGCATTTTAAACCCTTATTCCACTCACATCTTTATTAATAGAATTTTATTCCTGCTCCATCCTGCTAAGACCAACAATCAATAAAACAACAAACTTAGGATCCATACACCCATAAACTTTGGGAATACAAAATTCTGATTCCAATTTTGAGTATCTTGGTTCTGTCTCTGATAATGAACCCAAAAGAAACCATAGGTACAAATGACCTGAACCCAGATCTCCCATTTAAATCAATGGGAAAAGAATCAGAGCCCTGGTTACTGAGAAGGAGAAAGATCTTTTCTGTTCTATGTTGTTTTAAATATTTGTTTTCTTTAACCAGTTTTTTTGCAGACTATGAAGTGCCTAACTTCCAAAAAGACAGAATTTCACGAATTGAAATCTGGGTCATGGATGACATTGGGGGACCTGACTTGTAAGTTATAGGTCTTAAAAAAACCCCTAATCTTGTTTTTCCTCTTTTGAATCTGTTTTTACAGTTTTCACTTTATTTTTCTCTATTATTATTAGATTTCAGAAACACTCAAAATGTGTTTGATGCATTCCAAACACAAAAGAAACCACAGTGCCTTCCTTGGAGGGTGTACAGTCTTTTTAAAATATAAAATTGATGTGACCAGAATTAGGCACAATCAAAAATAATGTAAGGCCCTAAATCTGCTGAGTCAGTAGGTCTGTGTAAGAAGCTGTTATGGAGCAGGCCTTAAGTGAGGGCAAGGCAAGTACAGGTTAGACTAAATAAGAACCATCTAAATCCCAAATCCAACTCTGAGATTTGAAAAATGTCTTTTCACTGTCCGCAGTGCATTATTTTTCAGGTTTACAGCTCTCTGCAGTTCATGGTTCTGGAAATTAGTAGAAGTGGTGAAATGCCATAAGAAGGTCTCTTCTGATGGTACTTGTGACCAATCCAACAACAAAAACTACTAGTAGTTTTGAGAGCCTGAACTTGGGAGATTTCCTGCCCGATTCTGCAATCCTGGGAGATTAAAATATTCATCAGCACTTTTAAGATGCTTATTTGGACCAAAACTCTTGATAAGCCATTACTATTTTATTTAGTTAATTGAAGTAAATTTTTACCCAGCCACAGGAGCTAAGGGTTGGGGAAGCACTCCATTTTGGAGTTTGTCAGAATGCTCATGTCCAACAGCAGGGGTTCTAAGTGATTGAGGAAGGACTCAAGTACAGCCTGTGGAGTCCAAAGGGACTGAGGCCAAAGTTCCAATTGTTGCAAAGTAAATATAGAACAGTACCACTGATACAAGCGTATGGTGAATTCTGATTTGGTAGCATTTTACACCAACTTTGCACAGGTGTAAATGAGTGTACAACATACAATGTAGTGGAGAATGAGGCCCTCTAAATTTGTATTAGTCCAACAGGCAGCTGCCCTCTGGTGGTAGACTTGTTTTTCTAGGGCATTGCTGTTTGGTTACAAGATACCAGAGTCTGGCCAGCTTGCTGAAATTCTCCTATAACCTACTACTAAATTCCCTAAAAAAAAAAAAATCTGCTCCAATTGTAGAACATTGAGGTTCTGCAATTAAAGCCCTAGCTGCCATAGCAATTGACACTATGGAAATTAGCAAAATAAACAGTTAACTAATAAAAGACTTTGTACAAATCTCTTTTTACAGGGATTCCTGTGGGAGAGGCAGTGTACAAATATTAGAAGAAAGACTTAAAACTATGGGTTATGACATCACCTGCATTGACAATTACAAGTAAGTGGAATTTCTTTAATAAATATGAGGTATTTGCTAGGGTTTTTCAGAAATTTTAACCTACTTCTACCCATGAATATTCCCATACCGGGGACCCACTAATCTATTATGTTGTAGCTTTAGTAAGAAATTGACTTCTGGAAGTGATAATGCCACCTTCCTCAGCCATCTGAGCACACCTCCATTGATATGGCAATCGTACGGTTTGTAATTTTATTATTAAATGCAACAGTATCCTCATTCGATATCAGATACAGAAGATGGCGTGGTCCCTTCCACTTAGAGCTATCAGTTCAAATAGGAAATTAAAATCTGAATAACAGTTATACGTTAATATTCCCTTCTCATGTCTGCAGAATTACTTATGGTAGCTGTACTTACTGTGATACCCAGAGCTTCATTCTAAATTAAATACCATTAAGAAGGGAAGGTTTAGGCATCCAAATTGTGCATCTTTTCATTTTATAACATCATTCAATTTGTTTCACTTCCTCTTTTGTTTTGCTTCGTTTTCTTACTGAGTAATGCTATAAATAAATTAATTTCATTACAGATCTGTACTGCTGTTAAAGTGCCTGGATTATCTTAATCACTCTGATTGTTCCATTGTTTCGTAAGTAAACATGGTAAATAAAATCAATCCAATTCTATGCCATTAGAGCCAAACGAATAATTCACAGCTAATAATTTATTCAACAGATTTCACCTGTCCTACTTATTGCAATTTGTCCATGACAGCTGTATTGAAATATATTATTTTGAAATTATTCAGGAAACAATTCCTGCTCTATAAATTGTGCACAAGCACTTCGTTGCAAGTATCTGATATTCATAATTAAAGCAGTGTTGATTAGTTTTGATTGAACACACAGACCACATGGTATATTGCTATCCACTGATTGCGTGAGCATAACTCTTAGAATCAAGTCTCTCTTGCAAATACTCATAGTTAGAAATGCAAAATTTGCTTTCCATGAACATTCTCCAATAAAATTGAGATCATAAATCAAATATAAGACTGCAAATCTAAATAACAGCACCTGTCCAATTATGTACAGTGTAACTTTCAATTCCCAATTTCAAGGAGGTACAGTATTCATATCCAAACATTCAGAGATCTTATATTTCACCAATACACTTTTATGAGAAACATATGGAAACTTAAACACAAGTAGACACACTCATCTTTGCTGTAAATCCAGCAAAGTACATCATGGATAAATTTAACCCAAGGGGTGGGCAGAAGAATTCTTTGTGTTAACTGCAAAAATGTTTCCCAACACAGAAACACCTGAGGTTGAAAGGAAAAATACAAATATCTAGTGCTGAATTTGAGCTCAGGTGGTTAAGAAAGCCATATCTCCTAAGTGACCTATATTTTGTAGTAATAATCCATTGGCCTAGGTCAAGTATATAATATACAGAAATTGGGTTTGTGCATCAAGCACAGAGTACATAGGACTGTCTAGTGTTCAACATCACATGGCTCTCCCACTGGCAGGCAGCAGAGGAATGCTATTGCTGCTGGGTTGGGCACACTCTACCCTCTCCTGCACTGCATAGGTATTCCAAGAGCACTTTCACTCAGCACAGGGAAGAGAAGGATATACGTGAGATTGCAGGGATAGTGCTCCCACAGGCCTTTGATATAAGATTCATCTTTAAAACTCCTATATCTTACAGAAACTGGTAGTGGTGTTCTGCCCCAGCAGCGTTCTCCGTTGGATAGCTTTTCCCTATCTTGGCATGTGACAGTCGCAAGAGTGTTCCTTTTGGTTCCATCACCCAAAATTATGCCCTGGCAACAACCACTGAACATGTGAAAACAGGATTTGAGAGACAGCAAATGCTCACATCAATATGAGCAGATTGTGTTGAGGTAGCAGATGATGAAACCAACCTGTTCCAAGCTTACAGCGACATCTATTTATTGCTGTATACCATGTACAGGGTTGTAATAGCGTATGAGCTGATGTGATTTAAAAGAAATGGACTTCTTATTCTCTGAGTGATTGCCAAGGTTTTTGCTCCTAAGTGGAAAATAAATAGTGATTGCCAGTCTCTATCCAACTTGTGAAACCCACAGCTCCCAAAGGCCAGTAATTTTCTGAACAAACTGACAATATTAGCTAGCTGGAGAAATCTGAGCTTAACAGGGCTTTTCTTTTGGATGCTCTGAGTTCTTAATGGATGATTTAAGAATATAAGAATGGCTAGACTGGGTCAGACCAGTGGTCCATCTAGCCTAGTATCCTGTCTTTTGACAGTGGCCAATGCCAGGTGCTTCAGAGGGAATGAACAGAACAAGTTCAAGTGATCCATCCCATTGCCCATTCCCAGCTTCTGGCAAACAGATTCTAGGGACACTTCTGAACATGGTTTTGCATCCCTGCCTATCCTGACTAATAGCCACTGATGGACTTATCCCCCATGAACTTATCTAGTTCTTTTTTGAACCCTGTTATAGTCTTGGCCTTCACAACATCTGGGAAGGGGTTCCACAGGTTCACTGTGCATTTTGTAAAAAAATTCTTCCTTTTGTTTGTTTTAAATCTGCTGCCTATTAATTTCATTTGGTGACCCCTAGTTCTTGTGTTAAGAGAAGGAGTAAATAACACTTCCTTATTTAATTTCTCCACAGCAGTCATGATTTTAAAGACCTCTATCATATCCCCTCTTAGCCATCTCTTTTCCAAGCTGAAAAGTCCCAGTCTTATTAATTTCTCCTCATATAGAAGCTGTTCCATATCCCTAATAATTTATGTTGCCCTTTTCTGTACCTTTTCCAATTCTAATATATCTTTTTTGAGATGGGGAGACCACATCTGCACGCAGTAGTCAAGATGTGGGCATACCATGGATTTATATAGAGGCAATATGATATTTTCTGTCTTGTTATCTATCCCTTTCCTAATGATTCCCAACATTCTGTTCGCTTTTTTACTGACGTTGCATATTGAGTGGATGTTTTTAGAGAACTATTCACAATGACTCCAAAAAATTTTTCTTGAGTGGTAACAGCTAATTTAGACCCCATCATTTATATGTATAGTTGGGATTATGTTTTCCAATGTGCATTACTTTGCATTTATCAATATTGAATTTCATCTGCCATTTTGTTGCCCAGTCACTCAGTTTTGTGAGATCCCTTTGTAACTCTTTCCAGTCTGCTTTGGACTTAACTATCTTGAGTAGTTTTGTATCATCTGCAGATTTTGCCATCTCACCGTTTACGCCTTTTTACAGATCATTTATGGATATTTTATATTTTGAACAGTATGGGTCCCAGTACAGACCCATGGGATACACCACCTCTCTCCATTCTGAAAACTGACCATTTATACCTATCCTTTGTTTCCTATCTTTTAACCAGTTACTGATCCACGAGAGGACCTTCCCTCTTAACCCATGACTGCTTCCTTTGCTTAAGAACCTTTGGTGAGGTGAGCCTTTGGTGAACCTTGTCAAAGGCTTTCTGAAAGTCTTAAGTACACTATATCCCCTGGATCACCCTTGTCCACATGCTTGTTGACCCCCACAAAGAATTCTAGTAGATTGGTGAGGCATGATTTCTCTTTATAAAAAACACGTTGACTCTTCCCCAATATATCAAGTTCATCTATGTGTCTAAAAATTCTGTTTTTTACTGCAATTTCAACCAATTTGCCTGGTACTGAAGTTAGGCTTACTGGCCTGTAATTGCTGGGATTGCCTCTGGAGCCTTTTTTTAAAACTGGCATCACATTAGCTATCCTCCAGTCATTTCTCTCTTCTCCATGGGTTTAGACCATATTACTCAAAGTCTTGTGTTGTGGGCACATTCCTTAACTGAGGAAATCTGGATAGGAAACCTTTCGGAAACAGTTAGTGTCTTGTTCTTTTCACCTAAGGGCTGAGTATACCATCTCTTCAGTACTGCCCATCACTGCAAGCATCGGACCAGCCACCTGTTCCCTTCTATCTGTCTCAGTACTTATATGACCACAATCACCACAGTATCTGAGCATGTCTGTAATAACAGAGCACCTTCCTTGTGCTGGCCCTGATTCTGCATGTTGCTGAATGCTTCAACTCCCACTAACGTGCCTTGCAAGAATGGGTCTTACTTCCCCTCCTCCTCCTTTTATATTCAGCTGTGTGTGATCATACTGAAATCCTGACGCATGTTCAACTGCTGTTCGCATGGAACCTTCTCCATTTTGGCCTTCAAAGTTCTCATTTGAATATTTGCTACTACCACTAAGTTCCCCACCTGTGGCAGGTCCATCACGGCCTGCGCCCTTGGCTTCAAGGCCCACCACAATGGCCTTCCTCCGCATCTTTGCATAGCCCCCACAGCTTTCACCACTAGGAACAAGGGCATCCCATATGACACGCTGAGTAGTGATGGCTGCCCAGTCGCTGCTCCACTTGAGATACGAGTAGGCTAAAATGAGAAATCAAAGCAACAAGATACTCCCATGTAGCAGTAACTTAAAAATCTGCAACAAATAACCTCCTCAGTGATCTTAGGTTCCTCTCTCCCCTGCAGAAGATCCACCAAGCGGATTGTGATTTGTTTGAATGCCTAAGCTATTTGAAACAACAAGAAGTCCGGTGGCACCTTAAAGACTAACAGATTTATTTGAGCATAAGCTTTCATGAGTAAAAAAACTTCACTTCTTCAGATGTTTTTTTTACCCACAAAAGCTTATGCCCAAATAAATCTGTTAGTCTTCAAGGTGCCACCGGACTCCTTGTTATTTTTGTGGATACAGACTAAAAATGGCTCCCCCTGATACTTAAGCTATTTGAATTTTTTCTGAGTACCTTTCCAGAATTTAACTCCATGAATAGATCGCAATTCTTAAATATGCTGATCATTTAATTTATTGACAAATAGCGTTTACAGAAATTGTTGTTTCACTATTAAAGACACATTCCAGGCAAGAGCACAATTAACATGTTTACACTTAAAGAATAAACATTGAAACTAGAGATTCAGGTCTTTATTACAAGCTCTACTGCAGCCTCTTTACAGTGGCTCAGTGCCATAAAGCAGCTAATAGCTGGCTTAAGTGGTGCCTAGGCAACAACCTCAGCACATAGGTCAGGGAAAGTGATTTAGGTGTCTTTATTTTGCACTTAAAACCCCTGTCACATAGGCATTCTGAGGGAAGCGGCCATGTCAGAGCAGGAATGGCAGTGACCAGAGGCTGCTGTGTGGCACCACTCTAACTTACACTGGGGGCCATGCTCAACCTCAGAATCCTGGAAGTCCAAAGGTGGATAAATGCCCTTTTACCCCCTCTCCACACTTCGGCTGTGTCTCTTGTGAGGACTCTCAGGCTGTAATCATTATCTGTGACACATTAGCATTGAAATTGACCAGTAGGGAGCGTACAGACATCAGCAGAAAGCACTCCAAATGCAGTCTGGTACTAAGGACATATAGTTAATGCAGGATTCTGCGCACAGATTTCCTGTTTATAAAACCATGACAGCTGAGCAGCATTGAGAGTCATTTCAGAGTCATTGTACAAAGATTTCTGGAACTGAATTTTCAGATTAATTTTTGGACTTCAGCCCTGGCTACAAAGCTCTGGTATTTAAAAGGATATGTACTTAGCATCCTGTTTTTCTTTTCTTTCTTTTCTTCAGGTCTGCACCTTCAACACAAAGAGGACTTGTATCTCCCGCCAGAGGTGGCAGCTGGAGCAGGCTCATTTACACGATTTTTGTAGCATTTGTTTTTGAGATCTGCTTTAACCCACTGAATTAATGTACATAATTCAATCCTTCTATTTGCCTCCATTGTCTGTAAATTTGGCATTATCCTGTCTCTGAATGTAATTCCTCCCTTAATTCCTGTGATTGCAAATCTGCCTATTAGAACCTATGTAACATTGCCTTTGACTCCTCTGCTGCTGGAAGCCTCATCCATGCCTTCATCTCTCCTTATCTGGGTAACTCCCTCCTTGTCTGTGGCCTCACCCTATTCCAGTTCTCCAGAATCCCATGATGAATGGTACTGCCCCTTTATTCACCTGTCAGGAACCAGGGCCACACCACCCCTATTCACAAATAGCTTCATTATCTCCCTACCCATTTTTGGATCCGTTGTAAAACTGCCTTCTTGTTTTTGAAAGGCTTCCTTCTGCCTTAGGACCTTGGGCATCATTCTCCCCTGCCATGCACCTTATATCATCTGCACCTCTGAGAAGTGAGTGCAGACTGGATGTAAAATGCTATCCCTTGTGTGAATGGGTGTTTTGGGTAGCATCTTAAATTCACTTTGTATTAGTGTAAATAACAAAACAAGGAGTAACACAATGGACAATTTGGCCCATTGTTTTCACATGCACTATATCCATCACTATCACAGTTCCTCAGCTGGTTGCTTCTGCTGTTTGGATTACCAACAACCAGCTGACTTCCCAAGGCCTGTCACATCAGCAGAGCTTATCTTGAACACTTGGGAAGTGAGGCATCAAGTATCTATGATCAGGGAAATTCACTCAGGATCCTTTGAAATCTATTCAGGGTGAGGAGTAGAACTGGCTGGCAATTTTTTGAGAAAATATTTTTTCATTAGAAAATACTGATTAATCAAAACCAAAACTTTTTGCGAGAAAGGGTCAGTTTTGGCAAATTTCTCTACGTGAAAACATTTTGGAAAAAACTGAAGTTGTTGAAATGTTTTGTTTAGACATTTTTAAATGAAAAATTCCATTTTTCCAGTTCAAAACAACGTTGTTTTGAAATGCAAGATTATAGGGGGAAAACGTAAATTAAAAATGGTCAAAATTTAAATGCGATATTTCGATAGACCCAAACCTTTTTCTCTCTCTCTCATTTTCTGTTCATTAACCTTTTCAAGATTTTGAGGTTTTTGTCCTGATTTGAGACAGGAAATTTTCTTGAAATCTCAATTTTTTTTTGCAGGACTGGAAAACTGTTTTCAATCCAGCTGCAGTGAGGAGACACCAAGCACAGTCTTGACTGTCTGCTGAGCTAGCTCCATCTACAATCTGAAGGTCCAGGGTGTCTGTCTATCCCCAACCACTGAAACCTCCAGATCACGCGGCACGTGGGCTGATTTTTTGTGGCACACTGCTGCTAGCCGGGTTCCCGGCCGCCAGCCCCGTTCAGCCCGCTGCCAGCCTGGAATACGAAACCCCAGACCGGCAGCGGGATGAGCCCGCTGACAGTCTGGGGTTCTGTCTGTCACCCGTGCTGCCAGTCTGGCAGGTGAAACCTTTTACTGGCACACGTAACCTTAAATTAATGAAGACTTGGCACACCACTTCTCAAAGGTGGCCAACCCCTGCTCCAGACTGTGGCTGTACCATGTTGGATATATCTAAGAAAATTAAAATACTTGCATTTTCCTAAGAGAATTTTACACACTTTTTTTTTTGCATATTCACTGCTAATTTCTATGTATGCTTGTTAGCAATGAAGCTGAGTGTGAGCTATTGGAATGTTCATGTTCTCATTTAGCTTAGCAAGAAGTTTCCTTCCTCCCACGCTGATATTATTTAACTCTCCTACTCTGTCACATGGTGAGCATGAAAGATGCAATAGCAAGCAAAAATTGTAATTTATTTTTCTGGTCTTGATTCTTGTAGTAATCAAGTCAATTCCATCTCAGGGGCCTTGGTGTTCACACACTTCAACTATTTATAGCCTTACCAGCCTGCATGTTTCAAATACCCTGCTTGGGCTCATGCATTAAGGTTTTGTGCACATAATTCAGACACTTGCAAAAGCGTAGACAGCAACAGGTAGGTATATGTTTGAAAATTTAGGCTGTCATGTGTACCTTAGCTAGCCCTTTGAAATGTTCCTTCTGCACCCAGCTCATTTTTGTTGCTTTTCTCTAAACTCTCTCTCCCTAACAATAGCCAGTAGAGTCACAGGGGTATTAACCTTCTGTAACCTTGACACATCTCAGATGACCAGAGCAAAGACAGGCTCTTACTAGCACACTTGCATGTTGTACCATATTACATTGGGAGCTGTGAGGAACAGACATTGTTGTCTCTTCCTCCTCTAATGACAATCACATATCCAAACTATCCTTTAGGTCAAAAATTGTCATGCCCCACTGCTTTGTGTGTTCTACATGGAACTGATCAAGAGATTAGCTAAACACCACCACTATCAGGCCCAGGACTCTTAAGCAACCTACATTACCTAAGCATTCTAACTAGCCACCTTTTGGCTTTAAGAATCTGAATAGGCAGCAGGTTTAAAACAAACAGAAGGAAGTACTTCTTCACACAACACACAGTCAACCTATGGAACTCATTGTGAAGGCTAAAACTATAACAGGGTTCAAAACAGAATTAGATAAGTTCATGGAGGACAGGTCCATCAGTAGCTATTAGCCAAGATGGTCAGGCATGCAACCCTATACTCTAAGTGTTCCTAGCCTCTGATTGCCAGAAGCTGGGAGTGGATGATGGATCACTTGATGATTGCCTGTTCTGTTCATTCCTACTGAAGCACCTAGCATTGGCCACTGTCAGAAGACAGGATACTGGGCTAGATGAACCATTGGTCTGACCCAGTATGGCCATTCTTATTTTTCACTTGTATTTTTCCGAAAAAAGTGCAGAAGGTGTTGCCAGTCCCACATGACATCAGATGCATTGTAGGAAGTGTTGAGAAGTTCTATATGAATAATGTGTGTTCAAGTGTAAAAATGTAGATTTAGTTCAACTAATCTAAGGAATATTGAAAATTTACTGCAAAGCATCAAGAAGACTCCAGTATACTGAGAATCACGTTGCATCAGATTACTATTTCCAACAAGTTCCCCACATGTTTTCTCAAATAAGTAGTAGAGATAGATGTGATTTATTACAAGACTTCTTAGACAAGGGTAAAGCACTTGATAAATTTGTTGAAAAAAGCTCCCCAGAAGCCTAATTCTGAGAGGTGCGGAGTACCCACTACCCCAATACCATGTGGACCGTGTAAAATCTCTGGGAGTGGTGTGGATTCAGCATTTTTTAGGATTAGAATCCAGTAGCACAAATCACACAAAATCACCACCCATATAGCAAATTCACAAACAGTGGAAAACTGAACTCAAGAGGAAGACAATGCCAGCAGACCAGCAATGCAAGTAAAAGACATT